AGGGCGAGCAGTGGGAATGATGCACACATGATGACAGTCCACACACACACACACACACAAAGAGAAGGAGGGTTGGTAGTGTGCGTGTTTGTGTGTCTTGAACCTCCTGCCATTCTTCACATTTCAGTCACAGCAATTAAACATGTTGGGGAAATATTCCATTCCCATGGGTAAAAGCAATAGTTATTAATATCACGGAACACACACACACATCACCAGGAGGACACAGTGAATGGCGGCAAAACAGTGCCCAGATAATAATGCCAGCAAAGAAAGAAGGTCACTCCCCTCACAAAATGATGGTTTGTCATGTGATGAGTGCCATAGGGAGTCCAATAGATTTGTTCAGCAAAAAAATGCAAACAAGAGATTTATCGAACTGAAAAAAAGAAAATTAAAATTCATTAAAAAAACAACAATGCCCTTACAATGCATCCATATCCACTCAAACAAAGGTTAACTGTACCACTGTATCATGGGAACACCGATCAGCAAACGAGAGTGTAGCCCAGCACACACAACAGAAGCAGCATTAAGGGACTGTGCACCAATGTAGGACTGTTGCTGTTGTCACTCCCATTCGTGGCTGTTTGCGTCCGTTCCGCTTCTTCCTGAACTAGTGTGTCTTCTGCTTCCTCTTTCTCTTTTTCTTCTTGTGCCTCCTGCGGTTTCTCTCCATTCTCTTTTGCCTCTTCTGGTTTTTCTGAATGCTGCTTTTCCTCTTCTTCTTCCTGTTCCAGACGCTGAAATTCTTTTCTTGCTTCTGCGTGTGCTTTCCTCAGTTTTTCCAAAACTTTCTCTATTCTCTCCTTTCCTATTTCTCCAAATTCTTCCTTTTTTAATTCCGTTTCATTGATGGCTTGTGGAACAATTACGAGATCCGCAACATCTCCCAAAGACTTCATGAGGACATTCACTGCATTATTCGCGTTTTCCTGGAGTTGATCGGCATAACCAAGTGACTCGATTTCTTCTCGCGTAGACTTGATTTGTTTTGTGAGGTCAATTAACGTTTGGTTTATTCGACTGCTGTTTCTAGCCTCGGCAAATATCTTCATATTATCGTTTAAGCCGTCAAGTTTTTCCCCACAACCACGTTGCAAGATATGCACGTCTACGAGTGATACTGTCAAATTGCCAATAGCATATATGTTCTCTTGTATTCTATCCTTTTCTCCCTCTACCCAGTCTTTCTTTGGCATCCACTCTGGTGATTCTTTTAGTTTATTGATCTCTTCAAGAAGATCCGTGATATCCCTTGCAGCAGTTCCGGCATGCTCGGAATTTTCCTTGCATGATTTCACCTCCTCCTTTAACACAGACACACAACCAGACACAAGTACAATGTGCTCATACGCCTTGGCCACCGTGTCGTTTAACACCTGTTCCACCTTTCCTTTTTCAGTTAACTTAATGGTTGAAGAATGCTGTCCACCACCACTTGCATTCGCCACACACACACAGCATTGCAGAAGTACCAACAGGTACACCACACGGCGCAGTTGGACGAACATCGTTGTCATGATTGTCGCTGTGAGTTGCTTGGATCTTGTGGTAACAAGGAAAAAAAAAGGAGAAAAGAGAAGCACATTTAACACACTGAGAAACAAACATCAACGCAGAGGGAAATATAAAGGGAGTACACAAAACAACGTCAATCAAACCACTCACACAAAACAAAGCAACGCGAAACAGGCAATCAATCTTACCACTTCACAAAAAAACAAATATACCCCGGGTTCCGCGCGGATGTCAAAACAACACCCCCAATTACGAAAAAAAAAACCACAAAAACAATAAAAAGAAACAGCACCATGGGAATTTACCTGTAGATCCCAGTTATCCCACTCGGCAATAATACACAACGTGCCTCTGACTATCTTTCACCGATAGCGCCACGTCATTGCCTAAAAGGGTGGCATCCTCCAAAATACTGATATAAGACCACTCAGGAGATACCAGAAAACACAGGAACCCATCTGACGAAACAGTACTCAAGGAGCACTCCCACATGAACGTTAAATGTAACACCGCAACCCATCAACCATCACGACGTCCACACGTCAAATTCCTTGTAGTTTCAACATGGGCGCACTCAACATCGGCACCCCTTACTGCAAAGAACCGCACGGACGGTTGACACCATCCCCATTTGCTCGTGAACACACCACAATGATGAGTGTCTACTGTGCGCACGCGTTCATTACACACGCCTGTCTCCCGCTCCTCTTTGTGTGTATTGGATCCGTGGCGCATATCAAAAATACACGAGTGACCCAGTCGGAAATTGAACCTCCAAACACCACGAGATCACAGGAACCATCAGGTGAGCAAACGCAGGTTAAAGTCGGACGGCACCACCCGAAATCGCGCATCACTTTCACAAAGCCGGAGATTGGGAACCACCACCATTGCATGGGATGTGAAAACACACTTGCGGGAGAAAAAGAAAGGTGTACATCACCAACAGTATTCGGAATGCACACGCGACCCTGGGGCACAAAACCTGGCGAGAAGTTCACCTAGACGTCGTGAACAATGTCCACGCAATCAAGAACAATCAAAACCAAAGAACATTGTTTTCACGAAAGCATAACCGGAGAAACGTTTACAGCATACCCAAAACACATACGCGCATACAATTTCCATCACCCCTTCCACGCGACATAACCCCCCCAATGTACA